CCCTGATTTAGTGCCAAAGTAACCTGCATCCTTTCGATATGGGATATATGTATTATGGGATTTGCTATTTCTTTATTGTCTCTTTGTGAATTTTCTTAATCTATAAATCGAGCTCGTACAGTCTTCTTCTTTCTTTTTTCATGATTGTTAAAAGTACCATTAAATATTGTAAATTGTATACAGATATTTTTTATTCTTAACAAATGTATAAGACTTTTTAATTAATTACAGTACATTAACAAATCTAACAATATCTCACTTTCATCTCAGCAAAGCATTCATTTCGAATTTCTATTATCTTTTTCGTAAACTCTTCTTTTTGTCAATCTCTTATCACAATGTATGCTTAAACATTAGTTTATCAGATCTCAAATATATACTCATATATGCAATTTTAAATCAGTGTCAATATCATAAGCACCTATCAGGTTTCATATATCCTTACTTTTAAGGGATACATGTACAAATATTATCAAAGTTTAAAATTATGTTTTTATTTTATTGAATAATCTTTTATACATATACATTTATATTTAAATATATATGTATGAATTGCGTATACAATAAAATTATATAATGAAACAAATATAAAAGTTCAAATATGTGTGTATGTATGTGGACCATTATTGTTTACAACAGTATTGCCACGTCATGAGAAATTCTTTTATTTTTGCAGAAATTTTAAGAAATTGAAGAACAATAATTTTATTGTACGCTATTCTTTTACGTTTGAAAAATTAACTTACTTGGAAACTTACAACAGTATAGGAGCTTGAATTTTATGATTTCAATTCAAAAAAAATACCTCAAGTAAAATTAACCACAGAAAAACGTTTAACCTCAAACTTAGAAGAAATCAGAAGAAGATGAAGCAAATAATTATGTATGTAGTTTCTCATATACATATGCAAATATTGCTTGTGGGAAAAATATGAGGAAGATAAACAAGTAAAAAAGTTTAAGTCGGTCTAATGCGACTGAATTATACCCTACACCTTGAAAATCTGAGTATAAAAACTTATTTTCGAAACATTTAGAATGATTGTATGACGAATACTTGAGCCTGTCATATCATTCACAAAAAGTTCAAGGATATGTGCTACCTATGATTTAACACGTGACTACCACGTTTCATGAATTTGGCTTTATTATTATTTAAATCTGTCAAGCCATTCCGTAGAATCTTCAAGGATTTTATTTTACAATCATACAAAATTTTATGTTAATATCTTTATTAGTTTTCGAAATATTTAACATAATCTCTATGGCAGCTGCCCGAACTCATTGTCCGAATGGTTCCAATTACAATCCGACACAAAAGAAACAACTTGGGAAAGTTTAGTTGTATTTGCTTTATTTGTTTATGAATTGTCATGTGATCAGATGGACAGATCTAAATCTATAAATCAGCAAGAATATATGTACATGTCCAAACCGCAGATGATTCCTTTAAGTGGTTATAAACTCCGTATCAAAGTTAATAAACCCTTCACAAAGGTGAGAAAACGGCAAAATTTCACTCTTTTTTGGGAATTTTAAAAGTTAAACCTGACAGCACTGTTTAGTCACATATTGAACCTAACATTATATTATGCATATATACATAAATGTAAATATGTAAACATTTATATTTAAAAGAAAAGATGTAATTAAAGTTTTTCTCTTTTTATAAGCTATTATTTAAATATATTTTCATAATTACATAGGTTTTAAAAAATAAAAACCTATACACACATACTTACATAAATAATTTTCATTATCATTATACAACACATAAGAATATGAGTGTGTGTATTGTGTATGAATCTATTTAATTGCATATATCTACCACTATCTTTTGTTTGAATGTCAGTATTTTTTTTGTCATAATTTTACTTAAAAATTGTAGTTTTCTTTTCTTGAAGTTTTCATTCTTTTTTTTATTAGATACATTTTGTAATATGGAAAATAAAATGTCCTGAAAGGAATTTGTTTTTGTTATATTTATTTAAAAGAAAGAAAAAAGTACTAAATAGGAAGTGCTTCAAGCATTTTTGTAATGTTTTTTTTTTGTGTTTTCTTTATTTATAACCTTTAATGTGAAAATGCTTATACATATCAGGTATATAGTATACTTATAGGGGACTTAATAGTTTGAGAATATTTTGATAATATCTTGTTTATTTTGTAATATTATACAATATTATAGGGCAGATTCATTATTAACTCCATAATAAAATATTTATAATTTCAACCTATTAAATAAGAAGGAATTTTTTTCTTCTTCTTCTACAATAACAAAAGTATTGTGTGTGAGTGTGTGAGTGTACCATATGCCCTCATACTCTTTTAATTCGATTACCATGTGTTTTTGAGAAATTATTATTAGACAAAAAAAAATTTGTTGAAAAACCTATCAGTTCGGAAGTTATACCGAAAAAATCCATTTTTCGAGTCCTTTTTTATAAGCACTATTATTTTAAAATTGGAAATCGACAAATGTGGTCATGTGAGATATTACTAGAAAGATGTTAGTAAGATCCAAAGTTTTTGTTCCGGAAAATTTTTGAAAGTCACCCCTAAGAGATTCTAGGCCTCCAGATTTCGAAAAGTTTAGTTAGCGATTTAGTTTCTGATGAAAATGGCTTCTAAAGTGGCTATCAATAAAATCAAGAAAAGGACATTCATTACGATTGAGTGGACTTGATTTGGAAAATCTATGTTTCTCGTATATACAACTGTGGAGAACCGAATAGATTTTCAAACAGAAATCAAAAAAATATCGTAATATTGAAAAATGCTATAACAAATATTAAAAAAGAAAATGCCACTTCCCTTCTTTTGAGATTGCAATAACGTGCGAGGTGCTTTTGAAAGGATTTTTGCTCAAGAGTTTTTAATCTTTACGAAAGTTTTTGATCTTTAGGTATAATGAATTTGAATAAAATCTAATGATGTTATTTTCAAAGAATTTGGTAGAGGAAAAGTGTTGCTTACAAAAATGTTGATCAGCAAATAAATATCAAAAAGGACGAATAAATACCAAATATTAAAATATAGTACATAGACATTTTAATCTAGCAATTCCATCGAAATACAAAAACATTTTAAAGTTCATTATAAATAAAAATTATTTTAAGCTTTAATTTTAGTAAATAACAGTTTAAATAACATGTTAAAAATACCTTTTAAAACTTTTTTTGAATTAAAACTTTTACAATATCAATTTTGACAAATTTTACAATTTGAAAATATTGACAAAGCTCTACTTTACCAAATTCATATTAAGCTACTATATTCTCCCTTAAACTTAAATCTTACTGCTCTGTCATTGTTTCCATTCATACCAAAACGTCAATATCTAAATTCTTATAGTGTTGTAAGTTGATGTTTCTGAAAATAAAGCAGATTTACTGTCAATTTGAGTTATTTAAAAATTTTAATTTTTAGTTGCTGACTTAAGTAGATTCCTGAATTGTGAATCAAAAAAATTATTTATTTGTAGTATAGCTTTGCATAATACATTTAGATTAACTTTTAAGTTTTGTGACGAAATCATCTAAAATGATTTTATCCAGTTCATCAATTAAATGACTTTTTTTTTGTTTATTGAGAACCACAAATTTTTATATAACAGAGACAAATTACAACTATTAAATTATACAAGGAATTCATGTAACTAAAAATTGTGTAGACAACCGACTAACCATAACCATACGTACATACGTCATACATTTATTTTTTGAACAGCAATTTACAGTATAATTCAACTTTTTTTTTTTATTAAAAAATTAATTCAAAGCCATATTTTGGTTTCTGTATAAAAAGAACAATAATATAGATTGTGCTCGAACACATATAATTTCAACATTTATATATATGTATAACTATATAAAAATCTATTATAATTCGAACTACAACAATCCAATTCTACATGTGAAACACATTCCTTTACATAAATTATTTGAAAAAATGAACGATTAAAGCTGTTATTGCTAAAGTTTATATTGATTTCTTATTAAATATTCATACTTAATGCTGGCAGATTTATTGAAATAAAAAATTAAAAAATTTATATAGACAAAGAAAATTGCCTTAACCATACCCAGCCATTATATATATACATATACCATCATAAATTAAACAAAAATTTCAGTTAAAATCAATATTAATCAATGAGTATTGAAAAGATAAATTATCTTTAGAAATAAATTGAAATACCTAATAAAAAAAACACATTTTAAATTAAAATATTTCAGAACAAAAAAAAAAATTTATTTGAAAAAAGAAAGTTGATGCATAGGATGTATTAATTTTGGGATGAAGTTAATTTTAAATTCCGAATAAATTTTAAATAGAACAAAGTTTTTTTTCTATTTCCGAAAATCAAAAACTCTTTATAAATTTTTTCAAAGTTAACAGAAATTAAAACATGAAAATTAGCTATAAACTGGGGTATACGATTACCAGGATTCCTTAATTTTCAGATTGTGTTTTATAGAAAAATATAATGGTTTTTTAATGAAATATAAATTCAAATAATTTTCTTTGTAAGTTCCATTGATTTAAGTTCTTATAGCTTAAAGTGTCTTAATATACAATACAAATTGCAGTCCTCTGCTTTAATAGTGCTTTTTTAACCAGTAAATAATTTATACATCGGTTTTACAACAGGAATACATCAGTTTAAACGTATTATGTATTCCAAAGCATGGCACTTTAAATTAAACCAGGCAATAGAAAGGAAAATTAAAATTTTTATATAAAATAAAAATAAATGCGAAATCTTTAATATTTAATAACATATAAAATAGTTTTTAAATTAGTTTATCAGTTTATTCATTTACAAACTGCCGTCGACTATACACTGGAGCAATTCGGAGTATTTTATATTGCTATAAAAGAAATGAACTTAAAATTTCACTTTATTTGCTATTCTATAATCTTATCTAAGTGCATTGCCTGGGACAGACTATTTAGTATGAATAAGCAAGTAATGCTGCTTCAAGATGTTTACTAACCTAAATACTGTAACAGCTGCGTACCGGACTATCATATCAACAAAACACATTTTAAATAAACTATATGTCATTTTTTGTGGCAGGTGACGAGACCGCCGTGCACATCCTTTGCAACTGTCCGGCTCTAGCTGTTCGACGCCGTCTTGGACATGGGTTCCTAAGTGTTCGGGAACTGTTGTCCAACTCCCTTAGAGATATCTCCGGCTTTATAGTTGGGACTGGAATATTATAAGTGGGAGCGTGGGGAGGCTACAATAAGTCAGGAATGGCTGCGGTGGCTCGGGAAGTTGCTCCTGCCCCACTCGGTTCCCTTCAAATCTACAATCTACAGTATGTCGACCCCATAATACAAAATTTGTAGAGAAAAAAAAAATGTGATTTTTCTGAATTCTTATAAAGTTTTATTTTAGTCGCCTATGCTCAGCCGCGATAATTTCTTAAAAGGTAATTAAATTTTTTATTATTTGCATATAAAATGAAAAAATCTTAACATTCGAAATCAAACTATAATTAAAAAAAAATAAAACCTTGTTAAATTTCTCAAAATAATTTTTGTAATGGTAAAAATTTCAAATTAATTTTTACGTATTTATTTTTCAAAGTCCATTGTTCGTATTTTTTAATTCGGAAATTTTTTTCTGCATATAAAAAAAAAAATATTTTTTAATTTTCTTTTTCTGTCTTTAACAAAACTTGAAAATCATTTGAAATTCTTCATCTTTTTTTTTGTGGTTATTTTGCTCAGCTTTTTCTTTTTTATATTTTAAAAACGAATTGAATAAGAATTAATTGGCTTGATCAATAAAAGAAATGCTGGTTAAGAACTTGAATGATGTGACAAGATAATAGATTTCTACTTTACTAGAATTAAAATAGTATTATACAGTTGTGTGCAATAGTAGAGATATATGAGTACGGTTTTAATAATTCGAAAAAAAATCCCTGTACACACATATACAGTTCTAAGTTCGCGGTAGGAATCGTTTACTAATTTTTACGATTAAGTAGAAAATTATATACGAATTTTAGTAAAATGCTTTGGAATTCTGTAAGCTAGAATGATGTTATGTCTATTTAAAAAGTGAAGCACGAACAGTAAAGCTATAATTTTTAAAATCAAATCCCCTTTATTTAGGATGATATTGATTTAATTATTCTGTTATAAAACGAATCAGTCCTTGATGCTTCGGCTATAAAATTGATATTAAAGAAGTAGTAACGAAATAATTGCAAACTAGGTCACCCTAATAGTAATGGGTACTTTTTATTTCAGGAATAGTGGTACTTCTATGCTAAGTCATGAGTAACGTACATAATTTTCAGTATCAATTACAGTTAAGACGTAAAAATTGAAATTTTTTTTAATAAAAAAATCAAATATAGTTTTTTTTCAGATTTTTACTTTTTCTAATAATATCATGGAAGGAGTTCGTAACATCCATTTATATAGTTAGATTGACTGTGTAACTTTTGTTTGCTGGAAGAAGTTAAGTGATTAGCAATGAGTAAAATTTCATTTCACTACAATCTTCTGTCAAGAAATTTTAAAAAATAATGTAAAAATAACATGTGTAGTACAGTTGCGTATCAAAATCATTTCGAAAATTTATATTTCAAGTAGAAAATTTCACTCAGTTTTAAATACAAAAAGTGGTTATTTGTAAAAACCACCAAAATCACTAAAACATATACATACAAACTGTGCTGTTTTGTAAGTTTATATACAAGAATTCCATTCACAATACTCTTCTTTCTTGTGTATAAAACTGTCAGAAATGTTAAAATCATTCAAAGTCAACCCCTCTTTTATATATTTTTGGAAAATAGTTTTGAATGAAAAACATGACCATAAAATTTTTTTTATTTTCTCATCCTCTATAAATTCAGGACATTTTTGTTCATTTATTTTGCACTCACAATTTTCAACGATTAATCCACTTCGCATTCGTAAACATTTTAACACACACACACACACATTCTTTAATGTCATAATCATAAATTTTTTTGTATTTTTTTTATTTTATTTTTATTATTTTCGTATGTTTACAAAATATTTTATTTTCACGAAAGTTTTTTGTTTTTTTTTTAAATACCTTTTACAGGTATAAAGGTTTTTCCTTTAAAAGAAAAACTTTATATAGATTAAGGTATTGAGGTGGAAGAGGCGAATGAGTCATAAAGTACAGTTGTATGTTTTGGAATCAATTATTAGAAAATTTGTTAGAATTGTTTTTTTTTTTTGGAAAAACGAAATACGAAAAAAACACTTGGAGTAAACAAAAGCATAATTTTTTTTGAATACCTTTAAAATACCCTCAGAATATTTTTTAAGCTTTTAAAAGAGTCAAACGTAACGAATGAGGAAAGAAAAGGAAATTTAAGTTATTTTTAAGAATTCAAGTTTTTTTTTTAAAGGTCAAAGGTTTGTAGTTTTCTTTTTAAATAACAACATTATTAAAATTGTAAAAGATTAGGAATTTAGTGACAATGTAAAATACCTTTTCACACCTTTCCATTGTAAGTTAAAAATGAAAAATAACAACCCTCTAAGATATGTGAATGCTTAGAAATATGAATTCAAAAATTTAATTATACAGAATGTGTCCAGGAAATTAAATAAAACAAAATTTTCTTACTTGGCACTGTCAAATATTTGTAGTAGGCAATTTAAAGAGTTTTTCAATTCAACTTCAATAAGCACAACAATATTTTTGCACATTCATACTTCAATTGAAGAAATAATTGCAAATAATGTTTGAGGAAATTGTGTTTTGAACTTGAGAACATTTTCTTAACATTATTAGTAAATTGTATACTTGGGAATATTTTGCAAAAGGGACTTTAATATTTTTATTACCTAGGGTTAAAATTAACTTACAAATTTTGAATATCAACAGTATTGGAATACATAATAGTTTTTATGTAAATGCTTTTATATTTAACGTAATTGTGTTTCTCAATTACATTTTTACTCAGACTGCGATACTCTGAAAATTTCAAATAAATTTCTGTTGAATAACTTTAAATATTAATCGGAGTACTTTAATGTTACCGACCTCATTGAATCATATTTTCACATAAAATTTCATGTATGTAAGTATATTTAGTTTTCAAAGAAAATGCACATGAGCAGTGCATCATGCAATTATGCAATATACCTATGCAATTTCAGCAAGTTATCTATCCAGATTTTCCCCTCAAAGTTCGGTTAAACTATAATTTTCATAAGAATTGATATTTAAGTTTCATTTGGAGTAATGTAACGAATTGATCAATTTTTCGCATGTACATCAGGTCCAAATAACTGGAATTTTCATTAATGATTAAATTTTACTTAAAATTGTATATTTTTGCCTTGAATTTTTAATAATATGCGTCTTTGACAATGTAAGAAAGCAAAATATTGAGAATTTTCTAGAAGCATATTAACTAAATTATTATTGATTCTCTTCTAACTAACCCGTTAGTTAAACTATGAAAAAATTAAATTTTTAAATATTATTCAGAAAGCACCCAACTTGGTCAATTAACAGCTGACGTGTATTAAATTTTTATTTTTTCTTAATTTAATTTGTACAAATTGCCCGTAAACTAAATGCAATAAAAATGCAATAAAAATTGACAAGTTAATCTTTTTGATTGTTATTTCATAAATAAATTAACAAATTTTTCAAATATCGAAAAACGCTACGAGAAGAATTTAATTGAGTTGAATTGGAATAATTTGAAAATATGGTAGAGAAATGAACTGAGATTTCCGATGCAATAAATAAAAGAACTGAAAAAAAATTAATTAATCTTTTTCCGATTCTTTAATAATAACGAGAAAAAACAATTGTCTTTGTTCGAAAATTTAAAATTTCAAATTTATACAATTTAAAGAAAAACCTTAGGAAGCAGTTAAATGAATTTTTCTTTGTATAGTTTTTTTGTGAAAGGAATTATACCACATGCAGTGAATTATTTGTTCAAGGTTTTTTTTCTATTACATACGAGTTCCATTTTTATTGTATTATGAAATTCATATAATATGTACCTAAAAGGACGTTTATTTTCACTGATTTTCTTATTTTTCAATATTTGACATACAGGGTTTGTAAAAAATTTAAAATTTTTTTTTTACAGATTTTTGGTCAATCCTGCAAAAATAATCTTGGCATTTTAATTTATAATATTTTTTTTGTACTTTATTTCAATTCATTTTCCAAATTTTATATTGCTTTTTTATTATAATATTTGGATATGAAAGTGTTTTTACACAATTCAAGTACGTGACAGAACATTTTACGCTCACATAAAATTTTTTTATATAAATTGGAATTTTTGTTATTATTGAAATAATGCCAAATTTCATTTATGAAACTTTAAAATTTCATTTAATAAAGAAAACAAAAATTTTACAACATAATATTAAATTCAAAAATTGATTACACCTTCCGACGACCTGTAAGGCTAAATGCATATATGACAAACTAAAATGAATTTGAAATTGATTTAGAATTTTTTTTTCTTTAAATAATTGCATTACACAATTTTATTGCAACTCTTTCTAATAGAAGCAATAAAGTATACAATTCTTTTGAACTTTAAAAGATAAATTCTGTCGAAAATTTTTGCCATTTCTTTTTTGTGTTTTGTCATCTTGCCAAATTATGTTGTTCAGAAAGTATTTTAAATCATGCCGTGGCATTGAAGAGTGTTTGCTATTATTGGAGTTAAAAAGAGAAATATGAAGCTCATTATAGAACTAAAATTCCTAGTTGATTTAATATAAAATTAGAAAATTTTGCCAAAACAAGGGTAAGAGGAAATATTAGCTCTGATTAACGTCGACACCGAATAGTCAAGATAATTTTTATTGCATTTGGATTCTTTTTCGAATAAGGATTTTTCAGAAACTGATAATGATCATATACTTGATAAACACATAGATTTGGTGTTTCTTGGTTTTATTCTAGAGAGCAATATAACAAACTTAATTGACCTTTTAAGCTGATTCATTTGTTATTCATTGCGTTAACTTAATATTATTGTAGACAAAATACTCTACGTACCGTAAAATAATCAAATGGCAACTGATTCTCATACCGTATTATATAGGAATTTTTTCAGATTTCTCATTGCAAATCGAAAGAATTTCGAGTCGTAAAATATTGTTTTCTGAATTCAAAACAAATTATAGATGAGATAGCAGTGCACCGCGACCAGCGTATAAAGATCTGAGACCCACATGAGCTCGAGTTACTTCAAAGGTCCGACAACTAATTTACAACAAACTTATGAAATAATTAAATTTGTCTAATTTCGACATGTTATAGCCTTAACTTTCAAACAAATTATTATAAGCGGCATTAGGAAATTCTTTAAAATAAATTTTTAATCTCTGCTCCTATTCTAAGTTTTCTTATATTCCTAAATTAAATAAAATACGGTCAAATTAAATTTCTTTTTAAACAAAATTTATTCAAAGATGTATACTCAGTTACCGAATGATTGAATAAATTCAATCTTCAAACACTTATCGAAAATCAAATGCTTATACTTTTGTTCCTGTTCATAAATCTGAAAAACTTTTACTTTCTTAAACAAAACTTGCGAAAAAATTTCAGCAAACCATTCGTTAAAAGTGGAAAAGTAGCTGAAAATTGATTGAACATTAGATTAAAAACTAAAAATATAATTTTATTTTAATACTTTAATTTTAAATCAATTTTATTCCAAAACTTTAGAAAATCTGAATGGAAAAAGAAAAGGATTTCATTTCGCGTTCTTTTTTACGAAGTTTTTTTCCCCATCTTTTTGATTTAATAATTTTTCTACCATCATTTTTTTATATCAGTTGGAAAAATCTTGCAAAATCCTAAAAATATTTTGTTTTTAAGGATAAAATTCTCAAAAAACAAAAAGAAAAAACGAAAATTCTATTTTTCAAACTCAAACGAAAAACAAACATATTTGAATTAAACCAAGATTTGTAAACTAGCACATTTGCTTTAAACAAACAAGAGAAAATATTTTTGATAAAGTAATCGCCCACTTAATTTATTATGATTAATGGAGCAGAAATATTTTCATGTAATAAATTTTGCATACTTTTAGGGAACTTGGAATAAATAAATATTGCATACTTTTAGAGAGATGAGTTAAAATTAGTATTACTATTCGTATTTTTTTAAAAATTTGGAAAATGTGGCTTTTACAGTTTCAAAGCCGAAAACTCAAATCAAAATTAGGGAGTCGAAAGTTAAAATTTCTCTTATTTAGAGATAACGATAACTTGAAAAAGGAGAAAGGTCTGAAGAAACTTTGTTGCAATAAAACTAAACATTTAAAATTTTTGAAAATTGTTAATATTTCAGACTATATGTCTATGACGTGCTTCTTCATGTGCCGTATATTTACATTAAAGTTCGAAAAAAAAGAAACGAAAGGAATAAGACAACATTGAATACAAACCGATAACAGATGATTTCAATTATAGCCATTTAGCCGTTTTTATGTTTGCCTACATTATTTCATAGTATAAAAGAAAGAAGTTGCTACATTCTTGAGTTGACGGAAATTAATAAATTAAAAAATGCTGATAGTTTGAATAATGAATTTCCAAAAAATAGATCTCTTTTAGGATTTTGAGTAGACACCGCTTTGAGGTAGGACTGAATCAAAATAATAAGTAAATTTTTTTCTAGTTTTCTACGGAAATTCGCTAAAAATTGATTTAATTTTCAACCATACCAAATATTTTTCTTACCATTCGAATAAAATTCCATATGGCATTTATACATTTTTTATAGATGTTTCTATTTTAATTTTTTTTTACGAAATCTTTTCTTAAAAAAAAGAATAACTCACATACTTCTTATATACTTACTACTAGTTTTATTATGTATAAATATACATATGTATTAGCTATGTAGATTCTTACACACATTTATAATACGTGAATAATTTTTCTTTTCTTTCTTTTTGTAGAAATTCACAAAGAAATACAAAACCAGAAAAAGAAGGATACCCAAAAGTATAAATTAAGTGGAAAAATAGGATAATTTTTGTACATTTTCCCACACACAAATATCAGTCATATACATATACATATATATATATAATATTATATTTATATTTTACATACACATATATCATAAGGAAAAGTAGAAAACGAAAACCAAATTCGAAAATTAAAAAGACAAACAAAACTATAAGAGTTAATAAAAAGGAAAGTGAAAAAATAAAAGAAAAAAATTATCATGGATAATTCAGCAGCTGCAAAACGTGTACAAATAGAAAAAGCTCATAATTTTATGCGACAATATCGAGATCCAGAATCACGTGAATTAAAAAAATTATCTGCAAATCAATTTATGGATGTATGGAGTCACTATGATAAAGATGGTAAGTGTTAAGAATTAATAAAAAAATTTAAAAAAATACAAACAAATATGAAAATTTTATGAAAATCTTTTGAAATTTTCATTTCTTAAGCTTTTTTCCATTTGATGCATAATTTTTGATATTTAAAAATTATTTATAGCAAATGGTTATATTGAAGGAACTGAATTGGATGGATTTTTACGTGAATTTGTATCAAGTGCCAATGCAACAGATGTCAGCCCTGAAGTAAGTTTTAATTATTGTTAATTTCTCATTTCGATCGTTTTTTATTAGATTTTAAACTTACTTTGAATATAGTTAATTAATATTATTTTCTTACACAAAAGTTTAGAAATAAATCAGTAGAAGACACAAAGGCAACCTTCCGAAGCACATACTATTTCATATCCCAATAAAGCAATCGAGCATTCTTAATAAATGCTTAATATTTTTTTCAACCCCTTTAATACCTAATCTCTTTTCGGATAAGCCAATGATATTTTTCAGTTATACCTTTTAATCGTTAATTGCATAAACTATGGACAAAAAAGTACACTTTGCCATAATATATGAGCCGTCAATTTGTTGAGATATATAGTAGACAAAGTAAATCGAATTTCGAATCCACCAAATGGATGTTTTGTTAGTTTTATTGTCACAGCTTTTTTTTAATTCATGATTTTTTCCTAGCTCTCGTATATAAGGAATATTTGATTTAATTACGTATAATCCTAGTGATATTCAAATTTAGTATATCTAAATATTTTAATTTTCATTTAAATGTCATCTCAGAGAGAAAAGAATAAAAACTGTTAACTTGACTTCTTAAAATATAAGCTTATATGCTAATAGGTTGTGATAGATGGCATAAATTTTTATTGTTATTGAATTTTCCTGAATTTTTCATTATTATACGAGTAGAATTATTTTTGATTTTGTTTGAAGTTTTTCTTTCTCTAATCGATTAAACTACTGTTCACGTATAAACTCATATTATTTATATAATATATATCTACATAGGGATATTTGTATATAAATGTCGAAAAAGATTTTCTCAGAAATTTTTACCTAAATCTAAAACGAAAAGTCCCAGTACATTAACGTATTTCCACTTGATTTAAAAGTAATAATCAAATAAAAGGAATATTCCATAACTATTTGGTTGACACTTAAGGTAAATAATAGAACAAATATATACATATATATTTATATATATATATATATATATATATATATTTACATATGTCTGAATATTATTGTAAAGTTAAATAAAATTGTAATCCCAGAACTTAACTGACAAACCTTTGTGTGATTGCATACTTTGAGCGTAAGATAAATTTGAAAGTCACATAATAATCGAATTTTAAAGTTAATTAGATGATAAAATTTTATAAAATTAATTTTCTGATTAGACATTAATCAATTCCTTATTATTTTCTTAGAAATGTGACAAAGTCTAAAGTATTAAAAGTATTAGTTGTTGAAAATTGATATTTCGTTAACTTTTATAGGCGAAAACTGGGCAGCAAGAGAAGCAAAAAAGAATGTTTGTTCTAATGAAATTATTTATTCATAACAATTTGTTACTGTCTATGGAAGATGTTAAATTCAAGATAACGCAATTAAGTGAAAGCTATTACATTGTCTAGGGCAAGCACATTAGATAAATAGGTATCTCAGGTTTTTTTATGTTCAAAATTGCAGTTTTCCGTTTATTAAAAAGTTTTGTAAGGAATCGGAAAAATGAACGAGGCAGACATTTTGAAATTACTATCTAATCTTGTTTTTATAAATTTGTTCACAACATCGTAACGAATTTTCTTGATGCAATACGGTCGCCAACAAAAGAACAAAAAATATAATTAACATTGTATTTGTGAGACATTTTTGTGCCTGGTATTTGTAGATAATTATTGTATATATATATGTATAATAAAGTAGGATCTGACAAATTTATTACCCTCTCTTCTTTTTATAAATCTTTCTAATTTAATTTGTCTTCTATCTCATATTAACACCATTATAATAGAACAATTCATACGATAATATTTAATTTGCAACGTGTAATAGGCAATCAGGAAGCAGGTTAATTACAAGCAGTAATAGGCAATCTTATTCATATTGACTAATGTTAAACCAATAACACTTAAGTTTTAATATGTGTGTATATAACATTCATAATGAAATTATTTAAATACATAATTATAATAAAATTCGAATTTTTTATATGTAAATTAAAATTAATTTGATTTCCGTACATTCGCCATTCATTTTTCAATAATTTTCGTTTTTGTGTTTTTCTTTTCTTGAAAAGTGAAAATATTTTGAAAATAAAAAAAGATATTGAATAAATTAATGAATATACACACATACCTATTACGTATATTTTTAAACGTACATATTAATAATAATAAAGGAAACTTGAAATAAAGTGCTAGAATAAAAAGCTTAATATATTCCGTGCTTAGCATAAATTGTTACGAAAAGTGTACAAAGATGGTTAGAAGGAGACAAAAATGAAAACAATGAAAATTAAAATAATTTTGAAAATATTTTTTACTTTCATTACTTTAATAAAAGTACTGGAAAAGTGTATGTAAATATGTTTGCATACATGTACTTACCTTTAGTTTATTACCCACCACATTGCAACCAATAAGAGAAGAGATGTGATGACCACAAATTTTGCATGTCAAATTTTCGACGGAAACACGTTTGTTCCATACTAGGAAAACGAAAAGAAAACTAATATCTGCAAGTTTGTCAGTATCTAAAGTGAGGGTGAAGCGAAACTTTAGCTTCGGGTTAAAATTTGTATCTGAGAGTTTGAGTAGAATGGTTTGATCAACTTTTGACTATTTTTAGTGAAATAATCAGCAACTTTTTGCTCATATACATAGAGTAATAATCAACAACCAATCTCCTTGAAATTTTATACATATTTTCATTCTGGTTATTTAAATAACAAACCAGTATTTTTTTCAAGATTATTAGAATTTGGAAACAGAATTTTCATTAGAAAACAATTTTTCACTTTTTATCATGTCTAAGAACTAATTAACGAATTTATTAATCTCAAAAAATAAAGTTCTACTAAGAACCAATTTTATATTTTTCAAGGTATGTTAACATTAAAAAGCTAACTAGCATTCAAAGAATGCCAAATTTGCATTTAAAACACATTTTCATAATCTCATGCAAAATTTTAGTGACTCAAAACTTTAATAATGCTGTGCCCACGTAAGATTATTTTTTTTTGTTCTCGAAGTTTATTATACTCGTAGTAAGAAACATATTACGTACATAAAAGATTGGATTAATAGTTTATGTGCACAAATAATAGGGAAAATGTGAGAAATTTTAAAATTCTACTCTAGAAATTCTCTTCTAAAATCGAAAAAACCAAAATACTAAAAAATTATCGATTCACTTTAATTTTGTCTATGTTCGACAACCTGAATTTAGAATAAAAAAAATTCATAGTAAGTATGGGAGTTTTCGTTTATTTACGCTTCGCTAAAAGTTCTACATTATAACATAAATTTCTATGCCGAAACGTTGCACAACATGCAAAAACTTCTGTCAAGTTCTTTATATTTACGTAAAAACTTCTAAATAACGAGTCGCTTGAAAATGACATACATAAATGACATTGTTATGAAAATTAAAATTTTTAAAATAAAAAATAAAAAATCCCATGTATGCCAGCGAAAAAATTTAAACTAAATGGCTCCGTTAAACTAAATAGCTTTCTTTATTACAGAATGAATATTTCCAAACGCACTTTATTACAGCCAGTAATTTTCCAACGATCTATGTATCAGCTTACAGTTTTCGAACGTGCTTGAATTTAGAGCTGTTCTAAAATTGAATTATCGAAAACACCCTATATTCGAATATAATGCCAAAATTTCTTTCTTGGTTAACATTGAAAAGTTATTGTAGAGTGTAAATTCATCTAGGAACCGATTAATAATATTGAGCGCATATGATGCGGACGTTGTTAACACATTTTTATATACCGTTTTCCGGCAATACAATTCACTGACTATTTAAATATGTGTATCGCTTAAACTACTACTATCAAGATCAAATAAAAGAAAAAAATTAAATTGAAAAGTAGTTTTATGTTTAATTTCTCGTTAATTTAAGTTAAAAAGAAAACTTGGTTCAATTAAATCTTTCTTATAATGAAGTAATTTGCTTAGATCAGGAAACACATTCCGAAACTAGTAAAGTGAATTGTTCAAAATATTGAAAATTGTTCAACTGAAATAAAATCGAAATATTGTATTGAGTTTAAAAATCGAATTTTTCATTATTATATTCCAAACAATCAATTATCATCTCTCACATCATTTTCTTATTGTTGACACCATTAATGTAATGACAAACTAGAAAACAAATTTATAACATGTTTATTTTCTTTTCTCTTTTCTTTTGATTAATTCTATGGATAAAAAAAAAAGTATAAATTTTTCATAATAATGGATTCATAATACTCATAAAATAATAAGAAGAATAAGAAAAAAAGAAAAAGTTTTAAGTAATAATAAAGAAAGAAAAAAATTTTAGAGGAGAGGTTATCGTTTTAAGAGCACTTTTTTTGTCATCAGAAAATTATCTTTTCTCCTCTTTATACTTGTTAAGGAAGAAAAATCCTTTAACTCGATGTATACATGCACATAAGTACCCTCTTAAACAGATTCTTAGAATAATAGTGTTTTAATAAGAATATACACATATATATACATGTATATATATATAAATTTTGTATAGTATTCTACTTGAGAGTAAAAGAACGTTAATTCGGCAGATTATTTGGTGGAATTATTTTTTATACCTTTTTTATTTTATATTTTAAATAAATAAGAGAATTAAAGATTTCAGATTTTTATAATTTATTTTCTTTAAAATTACTTTAAGTCAATTATTATAATAAACGTTTTTAATAAAATTATTGAACCATTTAATTGGGTTAAGAAATTTTTATAATGGAATTTATTATATAGAAAATGCATAAAGAATGCAATATTTTTATTTATTCCCATATAATTTATAACACTATATAGAGGAGCTTATATCGAAAGGAGAATGGTATATCTCACATTTTTAATATTTTGGAAATTAATTATAGGATAAATTTAAAAGCATTTTAGAATAAAATATAGCCAAGAAGAAAATTTAGGTATTATTTTGTAGATAGTAGATAATGGTAAATGAAGAAATTATTTTGTAAGATGTTCAAAACGAAATTCAATAGTTAAATACTCTTACACTCTCTCAGTAGATCTAGGTCCCGACGTTAGCTTGATTTTTCTTTATATTTTAAAAATATCTCTGTAGTTTTAAAGCTGTTAAGGAAGATGTTACGGATATGTCTGCACATAGTAAAATGTAATAAAATTTCGGTTGGTTTGTCTACCTACCAACCTACTTCCTACCCACCTACTTATCGAAATATTAAAAATGTAATAAATTCTGCACTGGAAGACCTAGTAAACTGAAGGAGAATTAGCTAGAAAGATCTTGATGACGACTGCCATTCTATCGGATATAGGTTGTTCAATAGGGTAGTTCCTTTTTTTTCCCTCCTTAAAAATTTTTCGTCTTCAATAATTACAAAAGAGTTAGCGAGAGGAACTTAAGACAAAAACTTTTAATTTCTAGTTACAAAGCACATCCATTTCTGAATAGTCCATTAGAGTATTTGCCAAAAACGGAGTTTTTACATACCTAATTTGATAAATTAATGTTATTACAAAATATTTTTAAATTATTTATTATGTTAGATAGAACGTTTTTCTCATAAGACTCCCGATATATTCGGACATATATGTAGTACATAATGTGCATTTTCTTATATGTTATTAAAATGATGACTATCGTAAAATACCATAATATACTTTAAAAGTTGAAATAAATTATTTTTAGAAGAAAAAACACGATCTAATTCAAATAAATTGCTTAGTTTGTTAGGAATTTGAAAAATTTTTTAAAAATATTAGATTATGACAAATAAAAAATAAAAAAAAAAATTATTTTATTATTTTCACAATTTTTTTGCAAAAGGCTGTAACAGATACAATGTTGGCTGAATTGAAATCATGTTTTATGGAAGCATATGATGACAATCAAGACGGGAAAATTGATATAAGAGAAGTAAGTACATGTATGCATGAAATATCTTATAATAAAATAAAATTTCGGCAATTTGAATTTAGTTAAAAAAGATAAGAAAAATAAAAATATTGATAAAACTTTCAAAGGATATATTTTTCCCTGTAAAAATTTCAAAAATGTTAAAAAGTTTTACATAAAATTTTTGTTCAAAAATAAAAATTTTATCAATAGTATTATTTCAATCAATATATAATTACATTTGTATTGGTAATAATAATCTGTTGACATTTAAATTAAATTTCATGTCATTTCAATAATTTCAAACATATACATAAATGTACCTATATATGTATGTATATGTGCGAGTACTGTGTGAAATTATTGAAAAATAAAATCAATTTAAAATAAATAAATAAGAAATTTTTTCTTGTGTTGAGGGTAAAAACTTTTATTTACTTTTCTAAAAAAATAAAATCAATTATTTTACATAAAGTGATAATTTTTTTTTTTTATTTTACTTTATGCCACGTCACATATAAAACTTTTATGTAGGACACTGTTCTCACAGCACCTTCTTTCACAAGTGAATTATTTCACCTGTTTGTTTTTTTATTTTATAAATTCTTTTACGTATAATAATTCTAAAGTAGAAAATAGGTCTTCTCTTTCTTATAATATCTTAAGTGATATACAAATAGGAAATTACCGAGGTTATTGTAACAAATATTTCTGGAAATACAATTAAACTACACATATGGCTGGATACATAGTAAGCCTTGAATGAAATCAAAACTCGACCTGAAATAATATACGACGCAAAAGTGCTGCAATACGATAATACTAAAACATCTCAACTTTATGTTCTGGTATTTAATTGCGATGGTTCAGTATTTATCTTCTATTTTGAACCAAGTCGATAAAATGGTGACTGAAATTAAAATAAACAAAATTTTACATATTACAAAAATTCAAATGAAGATTAAATTTTATATTACAAATGACAGAAGTTCAGCGCAAATATAAATATGTAGTTATTCAGTGAAACCTTCACCAAAGGTTTTTTGCGTCAAATTTTTAGATATGACGCTTTTTTTGTATTTGCCGCAAAAATATGCCATACTTTAGTTAAATATTATCAATGGCAAATCACTTACAATGAAAAAATTATTTTAAAAGGTATAGAGAAAGCAATGTTTTCATACAATAATATCACAATAATTCACAATTAAATTCACAATTTCAGAGCTATGATTAATGTTAAATAGCTTAATTAATCGAGCAGTATTTCACTTCTGATCATTTTATTAACAGATGGCAGTAAATTTAATTAAAATTATTACCATAACGTAAATTTAGTAGAATTCTAAAAGAGAATTTAACTGTTCAATTTATATTCTAAATTGGAAATATTTTTTTTTAATTTTTACGTAATTGAATTGTCGTTAAATAATTTATTCTTTTCTCCTCTAAATTATATTTTCAGCTTGCTCAACTTTTACCAATGGAAGAAAATTTTCTATTACTTTTTCGATTTGATAATCCATTGGAATCAAGTGTAGAATTTATGAAGGTAAGTTATTTATAAAATTCATAAATGAAAAATCTTAATCTTGAATTTAGACAACAATGTTGAAAAATTCAATATCAGAACCAAAACTTATTTAGTGTAGGCGGAGCTCATTTCCATTTTGTTACACATATTAACTACAATCTCGTAATAAAAATTTAGAATTTTTAAATAGTAGAGAGTAGGTATCAAAAAATAAAGTTCCTAAATTTTGTTAATTAGTTGAAACAAATAAAAATTAAGTGAACCGTTTGTAAAAAAAAAAGAACAAAAAATACAATGTTCTCGGATCGTTAGCTTTCCCCTCAATCGCGAATATTGTACAAAATGCTTTAAAAAATTATGTGAAACAATATATCAAAAAGCATTTTATTTTTCACTATACTTTTTATTCTTCAGAACATGTTGTGATTATACCTAAATACCATTGTACATACATATCTGCAGACATATATACAAACTACATGGTATGAAAATAAACTTTCTACAATTTTAGTAAAAATAAAAGTTCTCGTATATATGAAGTATTTTCATACTTTTTTAAAAAATTGTTTGCTTCATATTTGTATGTACCCACATACATATATATATGTTTACAAAATCCCAATATTTATAGTTTCATCTGGCTGGTAACTTGGTACTATTACTATAATACTATATGATTCTTCATTGATCACGTTCTAAATTAGTCATAAATTTTGAGGAATTTTTATTGTGTGTAAAATTCTTCTCATATGCTTACAACAATCATAATTTAAATGATTTGTAAAATATTACACTAAAATATACTTGTAAATAATATCATGGAATTTAGATAGGGTTTAGTAAAAGAAGAAGATGATTTTTATTTATTTTTTTTTCTTTTAGATTTCTACGAGTACATGTTTAATGTTCATTTAGAATATTATATAAAAGTAAATATTTATATAATGTCGGTATAAACTTAATAATTTTCAGTTTTCGTCTTTCTAGTAGTTTAAAAGGATGAGCGTAAATGAATTAAAAATCTGTAGATATTTTAAAATTTAACATATTTAAAACATAAAAATTTGCCTACTTCTAAGGGTGGGTGCGAATTATCAATAAATTCCCATAATGACAATTGTAACATTAATTGACATTTTTGATGTATTTATTAAACATTTCTTAAAATCGTAGATTAAATATTATTTTTGTGTTTTTATCTAAAACAGATATGGCGAGAATATGATACAGATAATAGCGGTTACATTGAAGCAGATGAATTGAAAAACTTTTTACGTGATCTTCTGAAAGAAGCAAAAAAAATTAATGATGTATCAGAAGATAAACTTATCGAATATACGGATACTATGGTAAGTGAAATAAATTTTAGTGATATTTCTCGGACGTAAAGAAATCAAAAGAAAAAATTAAAATATAATTTTTATTTGCAATGTTTAACACTAAGATTATGAAGACTGACTATCTTCAATGTTTCTCAAGTATTAAGATATTTGTGTATGAGCGGCCTTCATTGTAGTAACAAATATTCTAAAATTAAAAGTATTCATTCTGATTTTTGACTTCGAAATTTTAACTAATAACCGAAGACCCTGTATTGTAAAGGTTATTAAATGTATATTAGTTTTCATTTGTTCGTTTGTACGTTTATCTTTAATTCTATTTGAAATTTTTGAAATTATTCTCCACATATACGAGTACAAAATATTAAGGTACACAAATCAGGAATTTTATTTTTATTTACAATGTTAAAAGTTCATACAGTGCTTTAGAGATTATTGAATTCTCTTTACTGTAATAAATTGTGCAAATTATAAATAACCATACATTGTAATGCATATATTAAGTAATGTATAGTAAAAAGTATTTTAGTCAGATAAGTAGTTATGTATAGTACAATAATTGTGTAACTGTTATTCTTTTATTTTGCTGTGATATTGTCAGTATATACATTATGCATAAAGGGCATATGAAAATATTTTAATTTTAAAATTTTAAAGAAATTCTTAATCGAATTATTGAAGAAAGTATGTTTTTACCTGTACAAAGACCTACTCATTATAAATTTAATGCAATGTTTTAAATTTTGTTCCAAGCTTTCAAAAATAACAATAACATATAAATTTTACTTGCTTTCAAAAATTCTAGATAAATAATTGAATATTCAAAAAAAAAATTTATTTTGCCTAAAAAAATATTTTCCATAGAACGAAATTCTCACTAAAATGCCTTCTTGAAGCTATAATATCTTTAAGATATTATAGCTTCAAGAAGGCATAATATAACATTATAAGAAGCTATAATATAACATTAATTAAAATAATTTTAAAATCGGTAAAGGTGGAAAGTTTCACAATCATCGTTTTTATTGCAAGACAATGTCAGTTAATTAATTTTTTGATCGAACAAATATTTGGAACAATTCTCCTTTTCAAAATTTTAATATGTTGTATCTCTTCTGAATGGCAAGTCCAAATTGTTGAAAATTTTTGGAGTATAGGCTGTAAATATCAGCAAATATTTTATTTTATTATCAAGAAACTTTATACTACCTCTTATCTCTTTTATCGTCTTTTAAATAAACAAAAATTTTAATCTTTTAATTTTTCATATTTTCAATCAACTTACGAACAATATAACAACTTTTTCCGAATAACTCATCTATAACAATCAAAATATTTTTTTTTGATTTATTCACATATTCTAAGAACTTCTCCTTAATGTATGCAATAGAATTCGAGTGTGAATTTTTCACTCTTACCTTCAAAAATGTCTTATGTCAAATACTTTTACAAAATAAAATTTCCTATATTAAATATTCAATTAGTTTGATTAACGTTTTAAATACATCCTGGCAAAAAATATCAAATAAATATAAATTAATTTTAGAAATATTATTAAATATGAAAAACTATAGGTATTAATATTTTTACAAAACCACATAAATTCAACACAAATATTATATATTTTTAATATATTTCACAGCTTCATGTTTTTGATTCTAATAAGGATGGTCGATTACAATTATCTGAAATGGCAAAGTAAGTAATTAATTACAAACTAAAAAAAAAATGTAACAGGTTTTTATAAAAATAAAAAAAAAAATTAAAATATTAAATTTTACCTTTTCATATTAACTTTTTATGAAAATTAAAATTCACCTTTAAAAATTCGAAACTTTTTTCTGTTTTTCTTTTATTTTCATATATGATCGCCTTCTATATAAAAAAAAATAAAATTAAACTCTACAACTACTACAACAACAACAACAACAACTACAACAACATTCAACATTGAAAAACACATCCTTTCACTACTCAAATTTTATAAAATGAAATATATCTATATATATATATATGTATATATATATACTCATATATAAATTATAACCTACAACATAAAACGTAAATTTAAAAATTAAAAAAAAAAAAAAACACCTACATTAAAAATTCTCTTCGGTTTCGTTCTTATTGTTCTACTATAATTTTTGCTATTATATGAAAATGCTTCGAATGCGCTATTAATTTACAAATTTGCTTATTGTTGGTTTTTTGGAACTTATGATATGAAACTTGAAATTATTTTCTTATATAATATTTAAATAAAAAATCAAAAATTTAAAAACGTTTAAAAAAAAAATAAACAAACCAAAATCCGAAAAAAACCGAAAACTACACTGTGATTGAAATCGTATTTGACAGGCTTTTACCAGTCAAAGAAAATTTTCTTTGCCGTCAAGTGTTCAAGGTGAGTAAAATTAAATAAAAGAAGTAAAGAATAACAAAAAAAAAGAAATATACAATAGTAGAGATTTTTTATTCAAATTATTTATTTTCATTTTTAATTACTGTTAAAATCTTTATTATTATTGTTTTCTATATATATATACAATATAAAAGGATGAATTGAACAACAACTCAAATAAGTAAAAGTATACATGTAAACAAAAGAAAATATGAACGTACATTATGTATGTGTGTATTATTCTACAACATCTAATACATGTGTATGATGTATATTAAATATGTGGGTACATCACACAATACCTTATCTTGTCTCTTCTTATTTTATGACATGTTTAATAATAATCAAAGTTTTTTTTAAGTGACTTTTTTGTGAAACAATTAATGTGTGAAACATCTGCTACAATCTCTTTTTAACTTCCATAACAAAACACATAAAGACATAAACAATAGATTAAAAATATAATGACATATATTTATACTATATAAAACAGTTACTTCTCATAATAAATAAAAAGTTTAGTAACTAAATCACAATATATAAATATTCACGTACAGTGAAACTCTTTTATAATTACTTCAAAAATAGAGATAATAGAGAATTTAATCTTTTCTTATTCCAGATGCGGAGTTATTCTTATATATGAGAAAATAATCTAGACATAAATTTAAAATGGGTATATAAAAAAAATTTTTTGAATATTTATTGAAGTTCATTGAAATATAAAATTCTGATAATTAGAATTGCATTTCAAATAAAATCTTAATTTTCGATTAAATTGTTTAATGGAAGAGTTTGATTTAAAGAAAAATAGGTGACAAGTTTATCTGTGAGTTTATGAAATGTTATTGATACAAATATGCTTAAGTCGAGTTTTAAGGTTGTCATTTTAATCAAAAACTATTCTAGTTTTTTTTTTCGCATGGTACCATAAAATTTAATTAATATATGTATCAACCAATTAAACAAAAATACTATATTATATTACTATACAAATAGTAATTTTATTCAAAAATTTATTCTTTACTATAAACCCAACTTATTCAAAAGACAGTTTTCCGATTAAGGCAATATTTCGTTAAAATCACTGGATTGAGCTCCGTATAAGTGCATTAATTATAAAGAAACACTATTTAAAGTAGTTGCATATGTATGGATCATACTGTACTTGTATATTATAATGAATATACAGTGGATCTTATACAATTATTTGTACAAAAAGTATAACATAATTTGATTAAAATTAAAATTTTAAACTCATTTATTTAAAAATTTATGTTGAGATCTCATAAAATTTCAAAGTATACAAAATAATTATAAAATTTTTAATTAAGTAGGAATACACGAGGGTTTCATTATTATTTATCGTTTATAAATCGATAAATAATATCATTAACTTAAATAATTTTACAATTATAATAATTTTAATACAATAAAATAATTAGGAAATCATGAAGTAATTTAAATGAAAAAATTTGTTATCTTTTCATTGTCTAACATTCTAACTTCCTTCAAAAATAAAATTAGAAAATATAGCATTAAAAAAATTTTATTTTAACATCTTAATTTTTTTTCTTCCTTTTAAGCTTTCTGTTATACTCTTATTCTATTTGAAAAAAATTTAAATTTTTATTGCAAATTATTGACATTTTCTTAGAAAACAAAACGAAAATTCATATTTTCTAGGGGCTTACAGGCAAATATTATTGACAACACATGTTTGAACACTTCAACTAAATAATTCGAATCGCAACAAAGTATGAATAAAAGAAAAGTATAACAATGCATGTATGCGTACAATGTATTTGTTTTTTGGCAAAACTATAATACATTTCATAAGAAATTGGGGTGAACGTTTAGTAAAAAAAACTTTTCACTTAAAAACTTAAAAAAAAATTAAATTTAAATAATTTTAACAATGTAGTTTTAATGATACTCAAACAATATACAATATGATGCGGTGCACTTTAAAAAATATACGAATATCAGTAAAGAAATCAATATTTTTCTAAAAGAAAATATTCAAAATTCCAATAAAATATTCTATTTAAAAAATTCCTCAATTTTTGTTTTGATTATTTTTTTTGCGGTAGTTTTATTTTGCAGCATATAGTTTTAATATCGTAAATCGATTTGAAAATATACCAATTATTTTAAGGAAATATGATAAAAAAAAATGCAAATTATTTTGAAGTAGGTTGACTTTGTTTTTCAAATTCTTTAAAATTTCTAAGTGGTTTAAGAATACGAGTACAAACGATTTTCCAGGGAAAGTCCTTTGAAATAACACAAAATTTATGAAAGATACGGAATATTATGTAATATAATAACACCGTAAATATTTGAATTTTAAATTATAAAATCAAATAGAAAATTTCATTCTTTAAATTGATTTTCAATAATAGTTGTAGTTAGGGCAAAAAATTCTTCACAAAATATTATGTAAATTATTTATACATTATGTATACATTTTCATTTTACGTGCACTGTATATACCGCACATACATTATAATAATAGCATATAATTCAATATTTTACAATTCATATGTACATAAATATTATGTTATGTTAAATCGTCCTTTTTATTACATTTTGATTTTCCACAAATTTTTACCACAAATTTATTACTAAAATAAAAAAAAGAAAAAAATTTAAAGTTTCCGCAATTTGTTACATAAATTACAATAAATTTTATTATGATTTACCAAATCGTATTACAAAAGTTTTTTAATTTACTCGTTAAATATCCAAAACAATATATATATATATACATATATATATGCGTATAAAAGGAGAAACGAAATGAAAAGAAAAATCAAGATTTTCTTTTAAATAATGAGTTATGACTTCACGATTTTGATGATATCCTTAACAAAAACCTTTCAAAAATTTTTATTATAGCTATTCAAAAGTCTCGTGATACTTTAACTTGTTGCATGACTTAACATTCATATACACAATAACATAATAATAATGAAATGTTCAGATTAAAATAAATATGTAATCAAGAAATATATACATATATACTCATATATAGGTATTTGCTTGCATATATATATATATATTTAATTAAGCATATGTATACATGAATATAATATTAAGATTCAGGATATTTATTCTCCCCCAATAATGTTTTAATGATTTTTTTTTTTCTTTTCTTATATATAAAGAATATTTGTTTTTTATGATTAACCATAAAATAAAAGAAAATTTACAAAAAAAGAATATATAAATAAAAAAAAATATAAAATCAAGGTTATTCTGTATAAGTTTAAGGTACATACATATATATATGTGTATACGTGTAAATTGACATATACATATAAGATGAAAATTGACTTAAATGAAGACCTTCTAGATATAGTAATAAAAGTTAATGAATATTATTTGAAATTATATGTATGTATGTGTGTAGGTTTTAAATAAAAAAAAATACGATATACTTAATAGGTAATATAAAAAGTTTCAAAAAGTATGTGAGTATATCATGACATGAAAGTATAATTGTCTATAATATACTATATTAAAAAAGTGGACATACATTATACTTTTTTACCTTATTCTCATAGTCAAATTGCACTGTGTCAGATTTTATATTGACATATTAAATTTATAAGTCAACAAAACACGCATAATGTACACATCACGAATTTCAATTTATTTAATAAAAAACAATGATTTTTAAAGTTCAGTCATAATATGTATGAGTATGTACACGTGATACCTTGGATAAATAGAAAATTATCGTCAATTTACAGATTCGGTCTATAATCACATTACACTGTCCACTTGTTTCATCGATGTATTTCTCTTTAATTTTGTATATGCACCATAGAAATGGTCAAGCTTTGAAATTAATTCATCATCAGCTCACTTATCACGTTTGTAATTATCACATGTTCCAGAATAGCATTTGTCATATTTAAACAATCTACTTGAAATCTCAAAATAGTATAATAATACGAATAATAAACAATGAATTAGTTCATGTGATAACTTATTTTTGCTAATAGAACAATTGAAAATTTTATAAAAATTTATTTTTAAATATTAAAATATTTTAATTGGTACTGAAAAAACAAAATTCTGATGTGGTAAGCACAACCTATCGCAATGTGTATTGTTTAATATAGCGAAAATGTAAAAGAATATTAAGAAGTGCTCCAAATCCATAATGTCCATGTGCCCATCCTAATTCCTTAAAAAGTCCGCCAGTTAGTTGCAGTAACAACCAGAACTCAAACATTACATTTCAAGAAATTCCGTCAATTAGTTCCGTAGATAAGAGTTAAATCGACCAACAGTTCGGTTTTCGTGCCCTGATTTTTTCAAAAACAATATTGGTCCATTGTTTTCATACCCCGAAATTAAATATTTAAATTCAAGAAAAGCCAAAGTAAATTGACATATGTATAAAAATTCATGGAAATCAGTTTAGCGGAACTTCAGAAACACGCTTGTACACACAGAGCGACATACCAACATCTGTCTAAAAGTAGTTTATTTACGCTTCTCTACTATGGAGAAGTGCGTTCCCACCGAAAATTCGTTATCTGAATCAATCCTTATTATATGCGATACCGTCGGTAATTACCATTATGCTTTATTTATTATAAAAATGAGTTATTAGACCAAAGAAACTTTATAATATTAAATATATTTTCGTTATGTTTGCTTTTTATGTGCTCACATACGTAAAAATTCATATATGCGGAAAAGCAATTTTATTATACGCATATTATCTGGTCTATTATACATATTTAAAGAATACGAAATTAAGTTCTATATATAGTACCATAATTTATAATTTATTCTAAACATACGTTCACGAATATATTATGACGTTTAAATGTAAATCATATGTACACATATGTATGTATGTAATTAAGCTAGAAAATAAATTTGTGTAAATCAGAATTAATTCTAGCAGACAATTTGGGTATGAAAAATAAATTAATAATAAATAATAATTTGGTAAATAAATACTAAAATTATTTTCGCTA